CAGGGCAGCACTGCAGTCCTTGGCTGACTCCTCCATCACACGCGTTTAGGGAGCCAGACAGAAGTTGTGGCACTGCTCAGAAAATGGCCTTATCAGCAGCTTAGCAAGGTAACTGAGATGCGGGCTAAAACCTCTTTCTCACTGAAGCCACATGCCACTGATCCATCATAGCTGTGGGGTTGCACTCACTGAGCGTTTCAAGTAAGAGAAAACTGCCATATTTTGGGATTCAGGATTCTTGATCATTATAGACATGTCCCATATGGCAGACCTAAAGAACTGTTGTCGATCCAAATCACAAGTGGTCTGAACTACTGTTTACTTCCCAGTGCTGACATCTTTTTTTATGGATAAAAAGAAATGACTTCTGATCACCTCTAAACTTCCAGAAAGTTCAGAGTCAGGTTCTGTATTCATATGTAGGATATCTAAGAAAGAATTTATGCTAGTTTGACCATAATCATGCATGTGAGCACTTTGCTTAATACAAATAGATTATAGCATATGTCTGAGTGTTATTATGATATGGCACCACTTTGCCTACTGCCACAAAAAAGTCTCAAAGGGTACAGCATAACTCCCAAGTTTGAACAAAGGATTGGCCAAAGCCATTTCAACAGAAATACAATTTTAACACTACTATGGTTTACTGCACACTTTAATTCCTGAATGTTGTGCTCTCTCCTCCACTTGGCATCAGCCATGTCCCTTTAGACTGCAGAAGGGAGCACCTACCGCTGTGCTCTGCAGCCCTGAGCCTGACAGGGCCCTTGGGCACAATGATCGCAAAGAGCAGGATGATTAGCAATTTTTTCCTCTATTCGAAAAGGCTCCAGCTTCTGCCCCTTACCTCAGTGCAGTAGTGTTTTTCAAGCCTTTGACTTTCCTTTTGTTTTGGACAGGTCAGGGAGACCACAGACACAATGGTGCTGTTGCCGCCGCTCTCTTGCGATGCTGTCCAGGATGTCAGGGCAGTAGTGGAGCTTAGCACTGTCACGGTCACATGCTGGGGCTTTTCAGTGAGTTCTTCTATCCATTCACCTGTGGGGCCTGGAACATGTCCCAAAAGCATATGTGAGCAAGCCACTCTATGCATTGGAGGCACCTATGTTAAAACATCCTTCTTTCACAGGATTATTTACCACTGGTGAAAGAGGTTGGACTGACGGTTGTCCATCTCCACAGCCCTCAGGCAGTGAAGATGGCAGCCCTTGGGAAACAGTCTGTGGCTGGTGCTGTTTCACCTGTAGCAGAGCAGATGGCAACGGAAATGTCACTGTTGGAAAATTCAGATGGCAGTGTTCTCTATTGCTTACCAGAAACCACCCAGCAATATCAGATTTGCTCCAAGGGAATGTTTAAAAGCAGTGACATCCAATAATGTACAGAACATTGACAAACATTAAAGGATAAGCACACAATTTTTTTTGCCTCCAAGTATACTACAGCCTTGAAGCGTAAAAATCAAGTTCACAGACGTTACGACAGTGAAGAATCTTGCTCTCCATCAGACTTTTGGAAGCACTTAGTAGAGAACACAGGTTCAAATGTAGATAACAATTTGGAAAATAACTTCAGCTAGACTTAGTCAAAATTTCAGATTTCATTAAAATCGTTAGCTTTTCTTGTCACTTTTAAGTGACACTTGTAACAGCACTCTCCTTGACATTTGTTCCTCCATGCAATTCTAATGGTACTTCACATTTATTGAGAAAATAATACAAAAGTCAGAGCAAGAATTTGGTATAAAATCAGCCTATAAGATTCGGCAATCCATACTGCTATCTGGGTGCAACACAAATGTTGTGTACTACAAGCTAGTAATTTGACAGGATGATTCACTGAGTGCTACAAGGATAAAATAAGGCTGAAGCTATGAGCAAATTTTATTCATGATAGCAGACCCACACCTACTCAGCTAAAAAGAGGAATCTGATCATTAGATTAATCTCTGCAGCCAGTGGATCTATGTGTAGCTTTTACTATTCAGAAATTGTTTCAGCATCGACATTAAGGGAACTGAGCTACCTCATGTTATGGCCTAAAGTTGTAGTCCCCACACAAAAAGCCTACTTGATCAGAGGAATGGAAAAGCAATTTCACCTTAAGAGTACTTGTGTGTATCTCAGATTTGGCATACTACCAGAAATACATATAAAATCTATCTAAAATATGAAGGATCTTGCATTTGACAGAGTAAGACAGCTGCCAAGAATCCTCATCTGGTTCTAAAAACCTGCAAAAATAACAGACAAAACCCAAACCCCCAAATGTTCTCATGTGTTACACGTAAAATGAAAATATTCGTTACAGTCCCGTAACATCTTAATACTTTATACCCAATGAGATTCAAGTTCATCCTTAATCTAGCAATCCATACACCTATACTTTGGATGAACATTTTCTCATTTCTCTCAGGTCTCTGTCCCCAGTTAGGAGACTTCATGGAGAATACTGTACTGCATATTGCTTAATGGAAACAAGTCACACCTTATAAAATGCAATAACATTTGGTACTAATAGCAGTGCTACATAATTTATTTAATATACCTTCATGCTTATATATACTTCAATGCTTTCTATATAATGAAGCTGTCTAACAATTATTCCTAAAGAAAACCAGAAGACAGTGAAATTACGCAGCAGAGACTCTTTCTCTCATGTGCTGTTTCCTCTTTTCTCTTTGTTTTCCAAGTACTGTTTCTTTCACTAATACAGTTGTTACAAACATAGGAGCAATAGTGGAATTCAGTTACATGCAGTCAAGTATTATGATGAGTTTAAGCCTAAATAGTTAGCATTTGTAAATGTTATGAGCTTCTAAAGACACAATTTTTATTAGTAATGTACTTCACTACTTGAGTACATTTCCTTTTAATCTGAATATTTCTGCCAGCCTTAGCTACCATGTCCTGTTGCAGTATTCATGATTGAGGGGAGACACTATCCTCCCACACACAAAATTGTGTAGTGCTGCAAATATTCTCCTGTTCTCATCGTATGGGCATTTTGTAGGCTATATCTATTTCCTTTCATAGAAAAAGGTACGAAGGTGACCACAGCCATCAGAAGGATAATCTGAATTCACCAACACCTGTCTCACTTTCTGATCCAATTGTCAGTGATGATATTAGTTTACACAGTACTGTATTATTACTTTGCCTTTTACTAAATCTTCAGTTAAGAAACCCTGGGATTCTACAGGGAAATAATAAATTACTTTTTATCCTCTGAATTTTTCAGGCTGAACTATTTCATCTACTGTAATTTGCCCTGTGTTCTCTCAGAGACCACGCAATTTTAGAGTTCAGTGTTTAATTGTGCAATTCCCACACTCGCAGCCTGACATGCCCTTCATCCCTAACCCAGTATGTACAGCCTCCAGGAGTAAGAAAGTTAAGTATTTTCAAGAATCTCTATAACCACCGACTTAATTCTTGGAATTAAATCCTCTCTTCAAAAGATGCAAGAGGGGAACCTGTTTCAGTGAGCTACTTCTGAACACTGGGCAATGACTCTATCAAATACATCACCTGCTTTCAGTTCTTAGCTCTGCCAAGACAGCACAATGAAGGCCCATCCAGGCAGGGTATAATATATAACATATTTGCACTACATTTCCTTCTTTGGCACAGCGAATTCCAGAAGACCAGACTCTTCTGATTCTGCAGCAGATGCCGTATCTGCCACAGCGGTCAAACTCTGTACATGAAAGTTATATTGGCCTGGGAGAAAAAGATAGATTAGTTGAGATACTTACTGATGTAAAAGCTAAGCGTTTTTGCTGATTGACTTCCCCGAACTTCACAAGAGCCAGAGGAGCTAAATGTTGTTACAGACAATTTATATTTTCCTGGTTCTTTCAATTCAGCAACAAATTTGTGAGTGTCCTCACTTACTGTCAAAAATTCCGTGGAGTTCTCTAAATCAGGGGGGTAAAAAAGCGTGGATTAATTGAGATTTGAAAGGCTTAAGCCACTGAGAAAATGATTTATATCAGAAATGCTAATACTGTTTCTGCTGTGGGATTAAAAGGTATCCAAAAGGACTAGATTTATGTAGGTAGTTTTATTCCTTGTCATCAGCACAAAAGTAATTAATGACTAAGGTTGCAGTATAGGTGTAGAGGAACAATAAACCCAGGCCAAATTTTCATTCTGTAGAAGGGATGATAAAATAGAGTTGCCATGACCGTGCAAGTGAAAAACAGCATGGCACGGAAGGAAAGGAGCTTCCAATTTTCTATCTATTGCATTCTTATTCTGCAAAAAAAAGTATTTGCTCTCAATGTGGGAAGGCTTATGAAAACTCCTTGTCAGGAAATAAAATTAATTTGGAGAAAACAGATTTTAAAACAGAAACTCTTTAAGCAACATGGTGATTTTCTTGTAGCTTCATCACTTGAAAAGTCTCCCCGTTCTCCACCACAGCCTCCTTGTGGCCTAAGGAATATGTTTGGTAGCTGTCCTCTGAGACAACTGTTAATCTGAATTTAGACTATCTTTTCTGTATGCCCCTTCCAGTCGAGGTCCCACTGAGAACCTTTCTCAGTGGCAGACAGAACTACATGGTATAGCATACCTTCTTTGTCTCAAATTTCTACCAGCTCACTTCTCTTTTCTCTGATACTGGAACTGATTTACAATAACTGCAGTGTAAACAGTGCGGCAATATGTACAACAGTATAAATCTTGTTTAACAAAAGAGAGAACTGCAAACTGCAATTTAGCCCTCCTCCCTTACTTTTATGACACCCAGCCAGAACCAGACGCTATTCAATGCAAGAAACTTCTTAAGAAATACAGGAGATCTAGCAAAGCCCTCTGAAGCACAGTACTAGCTAATTAATAATTTGTAGAGGAGACAACCCACCAATGGAATCACAGAAAAGAGGTATGAAAAGGCTATAACGCTTTGTTTTACCTTCCCTTTCAATATTGATATGGAAGCCATCAAATGCAGTAGGTGGCTTTGGTGGTAACCAGGTCAGCACCATTTGTACAGGAAGGAAGGAAGGGGGCTCTGGTGTGAGTTTTCCAGATATGTTGACATCATTGGCTTCATAATCGCTGGAAACTGCATTGACAAACTCCTCTTCACCCTCTGATGACTCAGCTTCATTAGACCACCAGTATGGCTGTGATGTGGTTTCGTACTCAGTGCTATTATAGCGGTAGACCGGCCAAGCTGCAGATATGTTCGCTGCTGGAATTTCAGGCGGATTGTCAGAAAAATGGCTAACTTTTTCTTTCCTTATGATTTCTTGTGGTCCCATGAATGATTCTTCTGCAAAATTCCCACTGTGCTCTTCCCAGTTGCCTCTGTTGATTGGTACAATCTGAACAGAAATGTTTTGAGGTGGGTAAGGAACTAAAAGAGAAGCAAGGGTTAGTCTTTTAATAGGTATGTTCTGTGCACCTTTACCATGTGTTAATTCCCCAGAGAAATACTGTTTGCAGAAAAACATTGCATATAGGGATATTTTGTTCTTATTAAAATTCTCCTTTCTCTTACATATACTTATAGCAGAAGTGATTCTAGTGAGATCAAGATGAGTGTAAATTCACAGAAGAATCACGATTCAAGAATACCAGGAAGAAAAGTAGATGTGAAGTCACAGTAAATCAGATTTCAGTGCTATTACAGCAGAAAGGATACTCGAGTGTGAATTTGTAAGAGTGGGTTTTCATTTATTTTATTATGTCTTCCAGAAAGATCTTGATCATGGAAAAAAATATTTCTGTAGAAATGAATTGAAAAACATATGCAAAACTAATATATGGCATAGCTTGTATTTTAAAAGTATGATCTTCATGTTGCTGTAGGGCTTTTCATGTGCTTTTAGTAGCCACCTTTTCACAAGCATTAAACATCAGTTTAAATTTTAATACTTGTGAAAGCTTGATCTTAAGATTTGGGTCTTCAAAAGACAAGATTCTGGCACGCAAAATGTTACTTCAACTTATGCCAAGAGGTGAAAACACAGCATTTTGTCAGCCTCACTGTCTGCCCTTACACATGATAAGTGCAAGTAGCCTCTGCAACCAATTTTGACTGGCACTTTTTAAGCTGGCACCTTACAATACACTAATTTGTTCACCTCCCCTGTCCCAGCCATGGCCACTAACAGAAAACCAGACACTACAGCTTTGTTGCAGTTTCTGCAAAGAATGAAGGATGGGAGGGCAGCAGGAAAGAGAAATGCGATCCTGTTGGTTGCATTCTTATGGTTCAAAATCTCAATAACTATATTTAGGATCCTCAGAACAGAACTCGGCTGGCATCAGTTGGCTTTGCTCTGTCCAAGGCAATGGACCAACATCAGTGTATTCAACCGAAGATTTGACCTTTTGATTTTACCACTGGTTCACTCCACTTTGGACCCTGGAAAATGTCTGTGGTCCAACAGATTAACAGAAAAGTTTTGGGCACTGTCCCAGGACCAAATTAAATTAGTTCTGGGTCTTGAACAAATGCCATTTTCAGCCTTTGCAACATTACTATCTTGGAAATTAAAAGTTCAAGCTTCAGGGCATAAACTGGCCACCAAGTGGGTCAACTATGACATTGTTCTCCGTGACAGAAGACTGCACAACGAGGAAGGCCTTCTCCAACAGTTTAGCTCTGATTCACTGCCCAAGGAGACAGACCAATATAGATAGATCAATAGTACGCTTAGTGTGGCTATTCCTGTGGCTTAAAAATTAATTCCTAGCACAGCCCTAGGGTATCTCATGTGAAGCCATATTTACTTTCTAAGAAGCAAGCTCTATAACAGAAACACTCATGTAAATTTCCCTTTGCACTGTATTGTAGACATAACCCTATGTACTAGCAGCAGCATCCTCCTCCCACGCTCCTGGCCAGGAGCAGCTCCCAGGACTGCTCCCACACAGACCCTCCTTCTCTATGGGATCAATCCCCTCTCCACAGCAGAAAGGAAAGCAGCCATGCAGACTTGGAGCAAATGGTACGTAATAATTTTCTTCACCTGTTCTGTGCTGTTTGGGCTCATGCTGGACCCCGCTGTATTCCACTAGCGTGCTTTTGTTGAAGGTTGCTTCTGATACCAACTGAAATGTGATGTTACTGTAGCATATACCTGGTAGCCAGTGATTGAAAACTGTTTTACCTTTAAAGAAATCTGCAGAAGGTTTAAAAAGAAGAAAGGAAAAACAGAGGAAAATGCATCAAATGTTCACTTTCTGATAACGCAACTGCACATGCTGAACTGGCAGCGTTTCAGATGTTTAAACATTGCTCAGCCTGGTCTGAGACATGAAATTCTAGTAATTCAGTTTGCCAGCATTTTTCCTGGCTGTCAAAGTCACTTTGCTATCAAAAAAAAAAAAAAAAAGAAAAAAAAAAGAAGCCCAACACAAGAAATATGAACTACTTTTCACAGGCAACCTGTTCCGCGTGCCACTGAATATCTCAGAGAGCATCTGACAGTTTCTGCAGACCTTTTAACTGCTGCACACGAAAGCCTCCTTGGTCTTTTGCTGACTGAGCCATAACATTCAAGTTAGGTGCTCAAAGGGTCATCCACCATGCAACTGAGTGCAAGCCGCCGTACTGAGAGCTGAGCTCACATCCACCATCAGTACACGTGTGGGTTGAAGAGAAGTTGCTTAGGGCTATTTGGCTATTGGAAGGAGTGTGCAAGTTGATTAGCGAATCTCTTAATTCAGGTTGACTTTTTTATTTATCTATTTATCAGCAGCTGCAGGTGCAGCATTACAGCTCCTGGAACCATATATTAGCTGTAGAAGACAAAAATTACTGCTGGTATCCCTTTTGCTCTCTGGAAAGAGGTCACTTGTATTTTGTACTATGATCCAGAATCACCCTTCCTAATTTCTGGCACTTCACAGCGTTGAAAATGTGATTTCTAGCCCCACTCTGTATTGAAGCAAAGAGACTCCAAAATTTTCTGACCTCCTTCTGGAGGTGCATATCTCCCTCTGCTGACTTTAGAGAGAGCTTACAGTGACCAGACTTCTACTTTGGGAGCCTTAGTTCAGTGCCTAAAATTCAATCCAGCATCTACTAGATTGCTTAAAGGCATTTTACTGCCAGTATGGAAAGTTAAACCACTGGGGTTTCAGGGCCTATGGAGTTAGCAGGTACCTTTCTCACCTCTTAGGATGCTTTCCATTGGACAGTCCCATTTACATCTCTGAGATGCTATGCTTTATCTATAGTGCAGGGTAAAAGGGAGTTCAGTTATAAACAAACAAAAAAGAAAGCAGAATTTGCTCTTGTTAGATTGTTTAGATGGTTAGATTGGTTGTTCAAACTGTTTAGACTGTCTAGATTGTTAGATTGATTGCCGTTGATTAGATTATTTTAAGAAAATGGAAATTTATAATACGCAGCAGGGTTTATTAGCTCAGGGACAATACTGAATGCTACAGTAATATACAGTACTATACAGCATAGCATACTATTAGGACTGTGTCACTGTATGGTGATACAGAACTACCAGGTTTAAATCCCTGCAGCAGGAACCAGATACACTGAACGGGTTTCCCATCTCCGGGGCATCCCAGAGCTCTCCCACCAGCTATTCATCAAAGACAAAATCTTGGCCAGAGGGAAGAGATTGGGAACTTTTTTAATGCTTTCAAGTGACACAGAATGTCATCCAGGGATTTCAACAAGCATAACTAGAAAGCAAAAATGTGTCTCTGTCCTTCCTAGTGAGTTTGGGGTTTCTCTCCCTTTTCCTTTTGTTTTGGATTATACAGCAGCAAGGAAGATAAAAAAAATGGTGGAAGCTCTACATGCTTATTTGGAAGTACCAGAAATTGGGTAGCCCTTCCCAGGTTGATTCCAGAACAGATTAAAAAAATCCAGACCATCCAGTCTTCCTCTAAAATCCAAAAGAAAGGAAGCATCACTAGAACTAGGATGGGAAGCAGGTTTAAATGCAAAGTGAACCACCAGCTCAATTTGAAGACCCATCTCTTACTTCATGATAGAAAAGTTATTATATAATAACAGACACATTACCAGAAACATAAATCATTATAATCAATACATGTCAAAACCACACCTAAGACCACTTTTTAAAATGTTTCCAGCAGAGTTAGCATTACGTTTTAGCAGAATAGTTTCCTCCTACCTTTGTACAGCATTGTTCGGTAGTCTTTTCCTTCCCAATAGCTTATATTTACCCTGGTAAAAACATTGTACTTCTCTGGGTACTGAATTTCAAACAACACTCCTGTTTCTGGAGATGGTTTGTAATCATAGATAGAAACACTGCTCACAGGAAGGGGTTCTAAAGGATGTGCAAAGAAAAGGAAAAAAGGAAGAAAGGAGCAGATTAATAGGCAAACCAAGTTCTTCAAACATACACAACACCAGTGAAACAAATGGTTTTGCCAGGTATGGCACAGGCACTCTACCAGGTGATACTTGGGGCTTCACAGAGGTCTTGGGCAAAGCTACTTGGGACGTTGTCAAAGCCAGGATTTGTGTGGTCCCCCACAAAACAATTTATGTTCTTGACGCTTACACTTTAACAGAAGAACTTCCTTATTTGCCATAAAAACCAAGGTTGAAATAGCCGTTATTATTTAAGCACTCATAGTCATCACCCCAGAAAGATTTTCGTCTTTAATGCTTGCCAATCATGTAAAAGTGCCCAGACAAAACCAACAGAACACTTGAAATTGCTCATAACTTTGGCAGAAATGTGAACTTTTAAGATTAGCTGAGAAGCTTATCACTGCAACGGCCAAAGGAAGCTAACTAAATGAAGATTTTCTAGTTTGATATGTATTCATTTGTTTACTTCATGGGTAATTACACAGTCCTCATCCCTACCATATCTGAGGCCATCGTTTTCAATGTATTTATCCACAAACTTCTAAAAAATATACCAGTACTATTACCATTATTTTACAGATGAATACCTTGAGGTACAGAGAAGTAAAGTGGTTTACTGGAGGGCACAGGGGAGGCTCGTGCACAGAAAGGAGGTAAGTGAGGAAGTGCCCATCTAGTGCTCTGAACTCTGAGCCAGGTGGGCTACAAAAAGGAAGAAAAGTATCCCGTGTCCTGTGATGTGGCATCTAGATCAGCGTAGTTCCACCAGCTAAGGAAAGCTGTGTCAGTTCACTGCAGCTGGGAGTCTGCATTATTGCTAACAATAAGAAAGTCGTAGTTTTATTCAGTCTCCTTTATCCACCCACACAAAAAATAATTATCCTTTTGCTTCATGTTCTCCTCAGCAAGAAAAAAATGATAGCAACCCAACTACACATTGGTTAAGAGGGCTAAGCAGATAATCAAAATAAGGTTATTGTGTTAGTTGAAAATTGTCATACTAACACATTTTAATAGAGATAGTTAATGCACAACACCCTCAGTAATTATGCCTACATCCTCATAAGTATTATCGTGTTGATTTAGTTCCTGCACACTGTAGGGAACAGACTGAAAAATTCAAGCTGTTAATTAGCACGGCTTTAGAGGACACATTTGAGTTCAAAGTTCTGCTGCATTAGGGCCTAGAGAAAAACTAATAAAATATTTTTCCCCAAAAAGCATACAGTCACAATGGGCAAGAGAAAGAGCAGATGAAAGGGAAGACCAGTATCAGTTTCAAAAGTGGAATTATCCCATGGAAGGTGGAATAGGTTAATCAAAGATGGAAAAGTAAGACTGTAGTGGAAGTAAAAATCAAATCCCAATTACCAGCACAGTATTTTTACCACAGTACTAAGTTTCCAGATGTCATGAAGAAGTGGAGAAGAAAAACCATAGCTAAGAACAAAAGCCACAAATGCAAACAGAATCCTTCCCCAAGTCTTAAGAAGTCGTGTTGTCATTTTTGTCAGAGCATGGGAATGCAACGGTGTGGGATTGTTAAACTATTTCTCATGGCAAAGATCCTTCATTAACTTCATTGGGTAAATATGAGTATATTTGTATGTTAACCACTCTACAAATAGAAACTCTCAATCTCACAGATGAAGTGATGGGATCTGTGAAAATTTTGCTGACAATTTGTGATAGCCTAGAAATAAATAAAAGTAAAGCAGATCATGGGAAACAAAGCCTACCCTCTTCTTTCTGCTGAGGCTTTTCCCATCACTTATTCTGAAAGAAATAGTTGATCTGACTATCCACATGACCAGAGGGTTCATATCGCAGCTCACATAGCACACAATAGTAGTTTAAATGTCAATAACATTCTCTAAATAGCACAACGTTTACATGCAGTCATCTTTCATGTTAGCGGGTCTGCCCTGGGCTTTATTCTGCTATCTCATTCACATCTGAGGTCTCCTTATTTCTGAAAGAATTACTGAAACTTTCTTATGTCAGTGATTAAACTACCCCATTTATTCCTTCCTACAACAGATCAAATAAAGGATGTAAGTTATATTCATTTTTAATCCAAATGATTTTTCCTCCTGATGCTTTGATTTAATTAACTAATAATTGAATTAAGCGGTAATCACCACAGACTCTCTCTCTTCTTGTTATCTTCCGCTCACTATCCTTTCATTGCTCATGGCTGATGTTAGCAGAGTAGCATGAGTGATATAATGCAATTTAAAGATTCTTCCATTATCTTACTTCCTTTGGCACCAAATCTTCACATCAAAAGCTATTTGCACACTGTGAAATTAAAAGGACACTCAGCAGATAAAAATCATGCTCTGTTTTTCACTTACTAACTGCTCCTAGGGTTATTAAACTTAAAGAATATGTCAAATGTCACTCTTCACTATCTATATAATTCAGAGCATAAACAGTCTGGTCTTAATTTTACAGTTTTCAGTATTTAGGATCCAACTTTTCACAGATTTCAGTGGTTCTCAAGAAATAGCCTAAATAAAGTGTAGCATAATACTTCAGAAAATTTAGAGCTTTGTAAACGCCCTGCACTACATTGATGTCTGAAGTCATATTATGGAAGGGACTTAGAGGATTTCAGTGTCCCTCTAATAGCATGTTTAAGGCACTTCTTCATGTACAACCTCTTTATTTTTAGACTTGCAGATTATATTAGACGCACATAGACAAGCTTGCAGGATCAAGACCTAAATTTGGCTTTTTTCTTACTGTCTCAGAATCTGCTGCTCCTACAGCAACTGCTTTCCCATTATATCTGTTTATAGGAAACTTAAGTTCTGTGTTTCTCCTGGACTCTACAGCATTTTGCATTTAGCACATAGCTTGCATTATACAAACATCAAGATAGCATAATAAATGTGGCTAACCTCTTCCTCAAATGCCCTGAAAAATTCTGGATGCTCAGTCCTCCATTAATGCATTCTATTTGTGCCAGACACATTAATATTTGCAATTCAGGAGAAAAAAAAATACATTGAAAATAAGTACCATATTCCAGTCCAAATCAATTTGGTTTTAATACTTGTAGATCAGGTCACTCTACAGATTGAATTAATGATCAATTACTGTGGTAGGTTAGATGTAGTGTTACATGTGGGTGGTTGAAATGGGACTGAGATCAACTCTCTTGCTTCTCACACTCAAATCCAAATTAATCATGATTTACCTTCATATTGTGACTTTTATAAAAAAGAAGCCTCATTAATGGAGCGACTTAACTCCCATGGGTACTTCCCTTTATTCACATGAAGAAGTTGTGAATTATGTCATTTTCTCCCTAGGATGACACTATTTATGCATCTATATAGGTACTGGGAGTAAGTCACAGCCAGGGTAAAGCTTCCATTATGCTATAAACTTTAGCGATCGTTTTATCTCTTGCTAAAAAGCAACCATTTTTGAGATTTAAAAGCTGCTGTTTAATACTTTAGGAACATAATGCTCAAGTTTATGATAGGTAATAGAGTTACTATGTGCTATTGCTTATGAAAGGGGAATGTAAGTGAAAGTAGTATCTGAACAATGATGGTATTCACTGCAATTTCTAGATGTCCACATAAGATGACAAATAAAAAGATGCCACAAACTAAAAAATAATGTTGTCACAAGAACAAAGGCATATCTGTTCTTGAACAGATTTAGGACAATATTTTAGATCAGCCTCCCAATGGAAATTGTAACAGGAAATTGTATGGTTGCCGTTTGTTTTGTTTCTTTGATTCTGATGGAGGGTTTTTTCACCTTAAAAAAGGGATAACATGATTTGTTCGCTGGTGAAAGCCAAGCACTAATGCACCTAGATGTTCTCCTTAGTTACATTTAACAATTAGGGCTCCCATGGCTAGCCAGCCTTTTTAAAGATGTGTCATGTCATCCTTCAAGAAAGAAAACCATGAAGGGCTTAAGTTTTACATTTCATTGGAAAAAAAAAAAAAAATAGGAAGCTCGTACTCCAACTCTTCCATTAAAGAGCCAGAGGAAAGGATTTGACCTGCTGAATCACTTCCTGCAGCATCTGGCACAATGACAACTGAGCATTAACTAGGTCTAATGCCAATTACTTTCTGAGAGCTGGAGAAATCAGAGTCCCAGGGAGCAGGCTCATTGGTCTCTTGAGGAGAATATTTTTTGCAGAAGACACAGAGGCAGAACTCTCCCTAAAGGGAATATATTTTACAGTCATTTATGTAAGGAATCATCAGCTTTTGAAACAATGAGACATTTACCACTCAAAACTCCTAATCATAAGCTAAAATAGAAGTCAGGCAGAGTTGCTCTTAATTACCCTCAGAGATCCTGATATCCTGATTTCCCCAATTCCCAGCAGAGATACACTCTTCCTACAGCATACAATAGCTTTTGTAATGTACTGCTTTCCCCATTCCTTCAAATGTACAAATATTTTTTCCTTCACGACAAAAAGAAAAATTGACAGTGAATTTGAAAAAAACCAAAACGTATATGAGTATGAGTCATCCTTGGAAGAATAAAACAAGGCTTCAAGCTGGGAAAATGGAGGATGAGTGAGAATTTCAGTCACTGCTTTTACATACGTGCTCTTTATTTCTGTCATAAACTACTTCAAAAACAATTAGTAATACCGTAGAACTTTCTTTCAAATGTTGCAAAAACGCTAAATTAATTATATAAATTCAGGAGCTGCTTCACTCCTGTTGAAAAGCCAAATCTCCAAGAGTAGAAGAAAGCAGGCTTGAAATAATTGTGTTAGATACCAGAACTACTTCTAACTTTGTCCAGACTGAAAACCAGAAGGAAGGTCATTTTGACAGGCACAACACACTTGCACTGACAGGAATCTGGCCAGGACAGTGAGATACACATACCTCTTCTTGTGAAAACCATCACAGGGATCTTTAATAATAAGTGGTCAGGGTTTCAGTTTTTCTCCTTCAGTGAAGTACTGAGCCCAAGTTGCTGAACACAGATTTGCTACAGAATCAGAAGAAACAGTGCTATTTTGTGCTCAAATTCTATTTTATAGGTTTCCTATCTAAGAGTTGAATGCACCCTGTTCATTTCATCCTTCTAACATCCCAGCTTAGGAAGCAATGCAAGGATGTGGGCTGTGCTCAAGCTGACAAAACGCTTGGGCTCTGAGAAGAAATATGCAACAAATAGCTCATACTTTGCATTACAACAATCTGAACTACAGAACCTAAACAAGGAAACTCTATAGTTTGTGGTGTTTTGATTAACATAAGAAAGCCCTGAAATGGTTCCAATCAGACAAGCAAAAATTAACTGTTCTGTCTTGTAGAGAAGGCCCAAATTAACAATGGAAGCTTCAAATGGCAGCATACACACATGCATATATGTATATTTATATAATGTTAAAATATTTTATATGTACATATTTATGCACACATAGATTTATATGTATTTATACACATATATTTTTATACACATATATAATGATATATGCATATATAATGATATATGCATACATAATTATGAAATACATATTAACAAATATTAAATCATCTTTCTCTTGAGGAATTTTTTTTTCTGGACATAAACCTTTGAGGGGTAAAGCAAAAGTCTTCTCTGACTTAAATGGGATGAAGTTTCAACCTATGAAGACATACCTTTTTCTTGCCAATATGCTGAGAAGCAGCACATCACTGAGGGATGTGAATAAGAGAAAGGAAATGTCATCAAGATATACCATTGGAAAGCAGAGGTCTTTCATGACTCTCACTGAATTTCTAAGTAGGCAATCTCTTTCAAGGACCTTGCTCTTGTTTTGACATGCACAATTTGGATACACACTGCTCTGTGTGAAACCCAGATCTCCAGCATACGGGCAAGTTGAAAGACTGCATCTCCCTGCACGGACTCCTTTGCAGACATCAGGAGATCCCAGAAAATTATTGTGAAATATCAAAGTACAGCCTTGGGAATAACCACATTGGCATCACTGGCTATCTTGGTTTATTTATTTTGTGGCAGCCTAATGAATGGTCCAATCTGCCACTGGTAAAGCTCTCCTGATACCCATGAAATTAGGAAAGGAATTAATTTGGTTCTGGAAGCTAGTTGCAAAGTGCTACTTTTTCATGTGTAAGATATAGATGGAATAAATTAGATAGTTATATATCTTTGAATGATTAAAATAAACAAAGAATGTTAAACAGGCAGAGAGAGCATATGGCATGAAGAAAAATACGAATCTATCTTAATTATTGTCTGCCAAAAAAATCAAGTTAATTAATAGTCAGAAAATGATGTAAAACAGGCAGTGGACAATACCAATAAAAGGAAAAATAAATAAAGAAAAGGAAAACCAACTATCACCTCACACAGTTTTGTAGGAGAGGCCAGTGGTCACTAAATGAGCTCTCTTCTCAAAAGCACTGTACTGAAATACACCTTAAATATCCCAGCCTGCCACACTGTCTTTTCATTCCAAATTTACTTTCATTTCTGCAGCCTTGTGTTCCAAAAGATGAGCTATGTTAGAAGCTGAGGCTGCTACATGAGCGCTAGCACTCATCACTCCATCTGACAGAAAATACTAGGAAGGAGATTGGGTCCTTTCCTTTGTGAAGCTCACAATTTACGGCATACTTTTAGGGCCCGGTACAACATCCTTCAACGCTGCCTGCAGGGATGCTCTTTCTTTTCCATGAACCTGGTTGTCTTCCTGTTGAGACAAAACCTGTGAAATTCACTGTTCCCTTTTTGTTACATGAGTTCCCCAAGCAGCGCTGGCCGACTGCCAAAATCACTGGTCCTTCGAAGGTCTGGGTGAGCAGCAGAGGTCACAGCACGAAACCCTGAGATGCTGCCAGCACACCCGCATAAGACAGGTGGTGAAAAGGGATGGGCTCTGTTCCATCACAAAGGGCACCGTCAAGCCTTGGAGGAGGGAGAGTGATGTAGGAAATGTCCCTTGAAGCTGTCAGCCTCACGCCCTTAAAAAAACTCCCTGAGCCACAAATGGGAATTCTGTCTTTGATGGGTTGAGTGACACTGGCTCCCTTCTTCCTTCAGAGATTCCCTGCACAGGAGCATGTGCTCCATCTGCCATCCTGGATCACACCTTCCCCTGCTACTAGTGACCCTCGTGGGATCTGGAAATCAAACATCAGTGAGCCTTGCTGCACAACTGCAAGGGCAGCATTCAAAATCCACTGGAAATGCATAGTGAGGTCTTTTTTCAGTTGTATATGAAAGCTCATGCTTCCATTATTTTCTTTTAAGAAAACAAACAAATCATAAAATAGCAAATTGGATTAGAATTATTACTTTGTCTGCAAGGTTAAAGCAGTCAAAGAAATGGAAATTCAGACTGCCTATCAACCCTTAAATTGTTCACTACACATAGATGTTCTGGCACCCATGCCTTATGAAAGACTTGCATTACCCAACAACATGATACTTTTCCCGCTGGACCCTTCATGGTCGTCCTCATCAGGGCACAACTTCAGCACACAAGGGAAGGCTGAAGAACATATAGATGATGCAAAATCTGATTAGGTTTCAAGCACCTCACTTGGTAACATATGAGGCTACTGTAATATGTTTTGAACATTATTACAGTAGGATGGTTTTTCTTCATTGACAGAATAATGTAAGTACACAAAATCATAACCATTCCTCATCTGCAAGCCAACTAAAACCCTTCATAGATTCCAAGGTGCCATTTAGCAAAAAAAAAAAAAAGGAAAAGCTGGAAATTGGTTTTGCTGTATTCAAATAATTTTTTTGTCTGTCTTTTCTTGAATCTGTCTTCCAGATGAAGAAATCATTTTATATTCCACAAATTGTTTTCAGGTTGGCACATGGAAACAGTTCTAGAGCAACAGCAGAGCCAGAAATACAGCAGGAAAAAGGAATCACACAGAAATCTGTTGTGTTTTGCATGATGACTGAGTGAACAAAATCACACCTCTCCCCCAGGATCAATGCACCTGGAGGTAGTAAGAGACAAACTACTACAAATATGGTCTCCATCACAAAAATATTCAGCTGTACTGGCAGAAATGCGCAGTTTTGGTGACTACTATCTGCTTTCCAAGTTTAGTACTGCTTCAATATATTAGCAAAGAACATTGTTACAGCATTTAAAACAGAATATACCTCACCGAGTAACAGGAGTGCTTACACTGAAATGTCAGTCAACAATTTTTATGCCTTTTACTAGATTTTTGGAACTCCTGGTTCAAAAGGTTTAGGATGAACATCTGGAAGGAGGTTCATCCATCACACTTATTTCAGCATGTTAAACCTCGCCAGTCAGTGTTCAGGAATGATCAGCCAGGAGAAACCCACAGCTGTCCCTTTCTTCTTGCCCAGACCTTGTGAATTTTGACTCACAAGCCTTCTCAACACATCTTCCCTACTGTTCTTTCACAGGGATTCATCCTACACACAAGGAGCACCTACTGAAAACAAAAAAAAAAACCCACCCAACCTTCCCCACAAGTACTTTTGGGGAAAAAAAAACACACACAAAGAGAAGAAATAGAAGAAAAAAAGAATAAGGTATTACTTACTGGTTAACACAGTGATTGATCTTGCTGACTTGGAAACCATATTTGAGTTCACTACCAACAGAGTTACTATGTAATATAGGCCATGGTATTTGGCATTAAAAACCACAGGGGCAGGTAAAGTGCTATTGAATTCTTCAAACTGGAAAAAGTAGTTCTTGGATTCTCCAGCTATCTTCACAACATATACAGAGGATGAGCTCACCACATCAGATGCTTCCAGGGAGACAATGATACAATTGTCTTCTCGGACAGTAACTTGGAAAGGTTCTGCATTCTACAAGACAAGAATAAAGACTTTGCTGAAGTGAAATCTATTGTTTCACTTTTACCTATTTCTCTTGGTATTCATAGGATACTGTTCATATATACTGTTATATTTGTGATAAAGTTATGTTTCATATTCTGCAAGAGAGTTAATGTCAAACCATAGCAATTATTTCAGAATACAATTCACAGTCAGCCAAAGTCCACAGGCATCTGATTATCAGGCCAGTGTCTCTGCAGCAGAGACTGGTTCCTGCTGTGTGCTTTCTGATGCTCTGGCTACTCTATCCCTTACATCCCAAGGAACAAAGCCTCCGCCGTTCTTTCCTGATGGAAGGTGGAGTAGAGCAGAAGAAGGATGAGATTAAAAAGGGTATCAGGGGCAAGAAGATTTCCAATAAAGCCATAAAGCATAAGTCATTTAAATCCCCAAAAAGAGATGATTAAATCAAGACTCCTTTATCTCGCATAAACAGCATCATATATTCGTCAATGCAATATATTCTGAAAGCCTGCAACTGAAAAATAATTTTTGGCACTGACTAAGCTTTTCCAAATACGCCTGTTCCAGCAAGTACCAGGTGATAAGCAGCCCTCAGCACTATACCCATGGCTTTGGTTGGCACTTTTCATTTCCTAAGCTACACCATTTGATTTTCAATATTTCTTTTATTAGTAGTAGAGAGAAAGGAGCAATTTAACCTTGTTTTCATATATCATGAGCATGTTAAGTCATTGCCAGCTGAAAGCACTTTCCTTTTTATTAATCGCAAACCAGCTGTCAGCAAGAAGCACTCGTTCTCTACAGGAATTTCAAAACAGATTCATGGTAATTAATGAGAAGGAAAAGTTCAAGCTTACATTAAGAGTTGCCTTTTTGTTTATTAGGCCACACTGCTGCTTAGAATTTTTTTACCCCCAGTGAAAACTGTAGTATCTGATGTTTTCAACTCCCAGTTCCACAGTATCTTTTTCTCCTTCATATTTCACAGACTGAGAGCTCTATTTGGACGGCAGGGTGGGCAACCATGGCTAGTTTACAATTTACTCATTCAGTCAAGTTGTTCCTGTACCTAAGAGCTAGACATCTCCTTCACAGATTAATTCTAGCAGCTTGGCTACCTCTTGTCTTCTTGTAATTTTGTTTAGTGGTGATTCTTCCATGAGAATAATCTTTTTTGAATTTATGCTGCAGGAGCCAGGATCCCTATTTGAAATTCACACATATCGTGTTGCCAGCTCCTGGCATTCAAAAGAAAACCAAAAAATTCCCCAAGAACAAAGAATTGGTTCTGGGACTGTAAAATTTTAAATAACAGTAGTTTGCCTTTACATATATTTATGCTTTTAACATTGGGCTTTGAAATTTCACTGTGTAGCTATGGCCACATCACCCTATAGGCAAAGCTATAGGCTTGAGAAGAAAGGACCTAAGCAAATTCACTCATCTGATGCAATATGAGAACAAGGTAACAAGTGTATAATAAGTCCAGCCCAAATAGGACAACCAGTCTAGACAGTTTCACGCCTGAGATTAAAAATAGAGGCAATGCAACTTCAGCTGCTGATGTGAGGTTTGCTTTGATTAGTCTTTTAAAAAATGACTTTTCAGTTGCTAAAATGATGTAAGCCAATTTTATCAATGGATGAATACTTTGGTGTGGAATTTTTCATAGATGGCAGAGCGATTGCTCCAAAAGGTTTACAATGCAAGACTACAATTATGCAAAAGCTTCCATGTGTTTTCCTTAGCCTCAGCTGAATTCAACAGGCTTACCCTTGAGTAGATCAAAATACCACATTTCAAGTGTTTGTATTTTGCCTTAAATTCTGATCCAGCATTTGGATGTACAGAGATTCAAACCTTTAAATGGGGATTAAGTTTAGATCTGATCCAAAAGAAACAGAGGTTCTCTTATTCCTCCCCATTCTCCCTGCACTGAAAAATGGGGAATGATTTCTACTTCAGCTGTCCTGACATGGGAAGACAGGAGAAGGAAGGCACCCATGGACCGGCTTTCCAAAAGCATGTGCGTTATCATATCACAGAAAGCATGTTTGTCTTCCAAGAGCAAGAAAGGAGAGACAGACGTGATTCAGCAAGGTTATTTCTACATGTTAAGCTTGAAGTACATGTATAACCCCAGAGAAGTCAGTGGTTTTCGACCTTCCATAGACTCACCTTTGAATGCTTCACTAGAGGAAAGAGAAGAGTCTTATCTCCCTCTAGCCTTCCCTTGGCTTTGCCACTGAACTGCGTGGTACTAACTCAATGTGCCTACCTTGCTATGAAGAAACAGGCAAAAGAGCCCAACAAATTTATACGTGCCAACAAACAGTTCAAAGCAAGTTCCTTGTGTTTGGTGGTATTATAAATAATTTGTGATGTTAATCAAGTACAGCTGGAAATTAAGCATATAATTGCAGAATTATAGACATTCCTAGGATATAATTAGATACTTTCAGAGACTGCTCATATGGGGCGTGATTTTACTCTTTGATTCTTCCATGGGTATTGTATTAACCATGTTGAAAACTGCATTTTCATTTTTCCACTCACAATGTTTGCTTGAATTCACAGCAAGTACCATTCAGCAAATGATCCACTAACCTTCTACAACAATTCTCACACAGCACAACATGCCTCTGCTAGCTACATACACAGAAACCTCTCAGACATATGCTATTGTTACCTATGAGAACACCTAACTGGGGAAAATAACTTTTCCTGAGTCCTTTATCTCCTAAGAATGTGGGGATTGTGAAACTATAGCCTCCTGCCTTCATGTGCCTGTGTCTAGATGCTTTTGAACCACTGCTGCCATGATGCACAGGAATTTTTTGAGTGCCATCTCTTTAGTAGTTGTGTGGCTTATCCATCCTATGTCTGCATCCACCTGCATAATTCATCCCTCTCTTGAGTAGTACCTATTCTTTTTGGTGATTATGTGGCCCTCTTTTGCACTCCTGTACGTCCCAGGTTTTTCAATTGCTGCATGCACAGGACATATGGTTTGTGGGAGGCATCTGTTGTTTATTATCCATTGGCTCCTGAAATAATTTTTATCCTTTCATTTTAGCTCTAAGGTTTGGTTTATAGAATGAAGTGGCAGATAGGGGATGAATAAAAAAGCTTGGCAATTAACACGTCATAAGATGAGATCACTTATCTCCTTTAGGATATGGATTTCACTTTGGCAGTGTTTTAAAAGAACAGACCATTCTGGGCATCCTGTTCTTCATGTTGTATGAGGTGAGGGTTACCAGCCAGCACTGTGCTTGTGATTTTGAGAAGGGAAAAACCTGAGTATTTTTCTAAGCACCGCTGGAAGTGACAAACATGCCCCACTTAACTAGATTGTAAAGCCAGTGTGTCTTAGGACTGACAGCATCAGTATGGTAAATACACATTTCATTACTTCTGGTCAGCTACCTCCAGGATTTAATTTGCTGGTGTCACAGCTTGAGCGGCTGTTTCATGCCTGTGGGGAAATTTGGCAGGGCTTGTGCATTCAGAACCAAATGATTAGCTCCAACTTCCTTCCTAGTTTATTATTACAAGCTCGTGCCATGATAAAACACTTAGGGAAAAAAACAGGGGGGGGAGGGGGAGTAAATCCCACAATGCGATGCCTGTTCACAGTCATTTCCAGTGCAGGGATGAGTCATGCTAGTGGAATTTCCAGCCAATAACCAGGTCCCAATTAAAATAAAAAGGAGGGGGAGGCAAGGAGATATACAACATGTCAAATAAACAATATTCAAAGAGTAATAGGAAAATAAATGGAGTGTAGCAGAGCTCAGAGTTCTCTTTTCAGAAGTCTACATCCTCAGTTTATTTCCTTAAAACAGTATGAGTTTTACACATGAGGAAGAGATCAAAGTTGCACAACAGCTACTAATTTTATGTACTTTAGCTTTTGAATGAAATATTGGGCCAGAACTCAATTACCAGAAGTACAAGTAGTTGCACGTTCTGCTGACTTTAAGAGGAGCTGCGGATGCTCATTGGCTCTGTAAAACTGAAGTACTGGTAACTGCATCATGTTATCTAATGCTAAAGTGGAACTAAGACCCTGAACAAATCTAACTTCTGTTAGCTCCTATAGAGTAAATCCTGAAGTATCACAGAGCTTTCAAAGTGGTCACCTGAAATCCAAAAGCAGGAGTAAATTTTAAAGCTATGAGGATCTAATTCTTAGGGCAAAAGTACCATTATGATCACCTACTGTGACAATGGTGGTCAAAAATAACAGCAATGTGAGTATTACAAGACAACACTGAACACTATATCCAGACCTCTTAGAGGAAATACTGGGTATTTTTGTGAGTGATTCTACTATACTCAGATATGTTTTGTTCCAGTGGTCAATAATGCTAATTTCATTCTAAATCACATGATGACTCATTCTCCCCAAGATTCATCTTACTTAATTTCAGGTACTTAAATGGAATGACTGAGAGCCAGGATGACCTTTTTGGACAGAGTACCTGTGCATTCATCTGAGATCTGAATTACATTTGAAAGTGCCCTGAACAGCCAAAGGGCCCGTGCTCCCGGCTCGGCAAAATTCCTGCAGTCCTCTGTCACCGGCTGCAGTGAGCCCAAGCCTTATAACGAAGATAGGACCAGGACCCAGATTTCAGGATCTTGGTCTCTGCTATAGTCTTGCAGTGGTACCTCCACAGAAAGCACACAAGAAATTTCATAAAATAAACAGTACTGCAAACCATGCATAAAAGTCACATCACAGTATTTTTGCACCAGTTTCCTAATGTATGTTTTTCCTCTGATGATGTCAAATGATACCAAAGAACAATTACAATAAAATGGTAAGCATTCATTTTATTCAGAAATTGGAATCTTATCTCCAATAAATCTACTATGCACTTGTTGGAAATTTATTTTTTCAACTAGTCACTGTGCAGGGAACAGTCAAATTCTGGCCTATTTAAACTGTTTTAGTAATTTACTATATTTTGTAAATTTCTCTCTCCCTCTCT